AAAAAAAAAAAAAATTGGTGAGGTTTTCTGTGGTTTTTTATGTTAACTCACTCGTTCAATACCATTCACTCGTAAGGAGCTGGGAATTTAGCTCAGCGGCACGTAGCCTGCCTGGCCAGCACGAGGTCGTGAGTTCAATTCCCGGTACTGGAAAAAACAACAACAACAACAAAAAAAAAACAAAACTAAAAACCGAAAACCATTCACTCATAATGTGTCAGGCACTTGTATGGGATCTGAGGATACTAGAACGAGCAAAATAGAGAAGTTGCTGCTCTCTATGAAGCTTATAGGCAAACCCAAGAAACAACAAAAAGCTCCATGATTATAGATTTTCTGAGGCTGAGGATGTAGCTCAGTGGCACAGCATCTGCCTGGCAAGTGCAAGGTCCTGAGTTTGATTCTTGGTACCAAAAAAAAAAAAAAAAGATTTTCTGCTTTGCAGTAGAGCTGGGTGTTGAGGATCATCCCTCACATTAACCTGAAAAATACAGGAAATTGCCAGGTATGTTGGAGCACACCTGTAATTCCAGCACTTTTGGCAAGCTGTGGCAAAAAGATAACAAGTTTGAGCCCAACCTGGGCAAATTAGCCATTCAGCAAGACCCTGTCTTAAAAAAAAAATAAAGCCTGGGCTATAGATCCATCCCCATCATTCTCCACACCAGAAAAAAGTCGAGGTTGAGAGTATTTTAAGAATAAAATAAAGAACAACTTAGACCAATAAAATGGCACGTGGAATGGAAAGGCAGAGTGTGTAGCAGGATGAAGGTGGAACATTTTTAGGCCAGTAGCCCAACACCTTTAGATCTTTTCTCAACCTCCAACACCAGAGGTCATTTAAACATGGTGTGTTTGTTACCAGCAAGTTTTCATTTTGGTGAAATGGTCCTGATGAAAGGGTGCAGGACAGGGGCTGAGCATGTAACTTAGCAGCACAAGTAGCAGCCTGGCAACTGCAAGGTCCCAAGTTCAATTCCCCTTACCAAAAAAAAAAAAAAATTCCAAGGGTGGAGGACAGATTAAAGATAGAGCAAGAAAGAAATCCTGAGTCTACTAGACAGAGCGCTAGGATATTGTACTTGTATTAGCTAAATCAGCAAGTGTTAGCTTGGGGCTAGGCGTGAAACACAGTGGCAGAGTGTGGCATGCAGCAAAGTTCCTGGGGGAAGGAGGGTGAAGGATGGAGGAGTGAAGACTAGCGATATACAGAAAGCTGAGGTCAGGTGAAGCACTCTCACTCCAGATGGGAGGAGAAGGAACTGCTCAACCGCTGCAGTGCCTTTATCTATACAGCTAGCAAGTCATGTCAGGTGAAACTCCTTTGCCTAACGAGCAGCTCACCTCTCATGCCCCGTGTCCTCTGGGCTGGAACACCTGTCTGCCTTGGGTGCTCCCTGCTGTGCTCTGGGCTCTGCATGTGTGAATGAGCTTCAGCTGCTCCCATCTCCTTTCCTGTTTTTGCAGTTGTAATCAGTGTGTGCTCAGCTAAAGGTGGTAGAGCTGTGCTTGGAGGACTCTGCAAAGGATTTTTTTTTGTTGTTTGTTTTTTTCCAGTACCAGGAATTGAACTCATGACCTTGCACTTGCCAGGCAGGTGCTGTGCTGCTGAGCTAAATCCCCAGCCCCATGAGGATTTTTTTTTCTTGTGGTTATACTTTGCTTCTGAATGTTCAAGACCAAATTAAAGTGAGAACTCTTTTAATTAAAATTAAATTTCTGCTCCTTATCAAGTTCAGTTAAGTTTCCCAGGAATTACCTTGGAACCATGCACAGCACCTCTTAATATTTCTGTCTGTCAGCTGTCTGGATGAGTCATGGCCAATTGTTTGACCAAGTTGCTTTCTGTGAAACTTGGGAGATTTTTCTCTCCTGGTGACTCTCCGTAGGTACGATATATGTTGATCACTTTCCTCTGTGGTCCAGCAATCTCCTTGGTCAGAAGACCAGGGACTCACCGAGTTATAGGATGTCAAAGCAGAAGTTCTCTTATGTCCTGGGTCCTCACTGACCTC